GATAGATAGATAGATAGATAGATAGATAGATAGATAGATAGATAGATAGATAGATAGATAGATAGATAGATAGATAGATAGATAGATAGATAGATAGATAGATAGATAGATAGATAGATAGATAGATAGATAGACAGATAGACAGATAGAGAGATGGACAGACAGACAGACAGATAGATTTAGGAGATTGCGTCCCGAATGGTGCGTCAGTATCATTACACTGGATGGCCCGATGTTGGAACCCCGGACTCGGGATCAGGATTAATTGATCAAATTGGTCATGTACGTAGCAACAGAAGTCAGGAAACACTACAATCACCGTGCATTGCAGGTATGGACTGGGTGCTACTACTGCCCATGCATCACTAAACTTATTGCCTCGTGTAAAAGAATCCGGATACCGGAATCCGTCAAGTTTTTTGTTTGTGGAATCCGTGGGAATACGGAATCTCGTTTACTTATGGAATCCGGAATCCAGTACCCGGAATCCAGAATCCCTGGCGTGAAATCCAAATTCCCAGACTGTCTTGGATTCCCTTTCATTGGGTGGCGTAAACTATTTCGCTTAACTTTAAGATGATTTTTATATCCCTTATCCGGTCTCCCCTTTTCACTCTGGCAATGTGCTAAGGTCGTCTGAAACGATATTTCCGAAATTGTTTATTCATATATTTTAGCAGTCGTGAAGTATCCAAAGATTGCCGGTAACCAGAGATCTTCCCAAATTCCATTGACCGGAAAATGACTTTCACTGCAACTTTCAATTATTTCCGAAGTCGCGATATGCAGCAAAAAGTTTCTTTAACCGCAGGGTTAGCTCAGTCTGTAGGGCGCTTGACGCCTGAGCGGTAGGTTGCAGGTTCCATTCTCGGGCTGGTCTTAAAATAACTGAGAAATGAAGGTACTGCCTTCCAGGCCCTGCAAATGGCTAGATCTTCGTGTGGCTCGCAAAATATCGGTCCTGTCTCCACTACGTAGGAAACGAAAAAATTGTGTCATCAGTTAGTGCTTTCTTGATACCCACAAAAAATTTCATTTTAAAGCCGAAGAAATGCGATTGCTAACGAATTTAAACAGTAAACTCGATGTTTTTGTCCTTTTCTATTGGCAGGGAGGGTGTTGGCCGAACAGGAGTCTTCTGTGCCCTAAGTGTGCTTATTGAGAGATTGAAGGCTGAGGGCGTAGTTGATGTTTTCCAGACTGTGAAACGGTTGAGATCTCAGAGACCTGCTATGGTACAAACCAAGGATCAGTACGAGTTTATTTACAAGGCTCTTGCACAGGGCGCAGAGGAGTTATTTGATAAATGTCGTCCACGCCAACTGTTATCGACCGTTACTAATTTGAAAAATTAAACAACAGCTGACTTGACCCGGTAAACTTCTATCCACTCGAGCATGGAACACAGTGTTCTTGCAAACGGCAGTTTCCTTGTCAAGAAAACAGAGAAAACAAAGAAGGCAACAAGAAACGTAAATTTGAAACCAAAGATCTCTTAAAAAAATTGGTAAGTAATTTCATGATCACTCGTCTGAAGTGGCAACAGCGTAATGGCATTTTAATGCCATTACGCTGTTGTTTGCGAAGTGATAGACTTGCGAATTGCCATGTTTCAAAATTCTGCAAAGATCTAACGATCTCCCATGTATTTAGGAGTGTTGCGTGACGACACTAAAAAACGGCTGTGTAGCAGACTACCATGTATTGTAATAGCGCTTCGCACTATTACTAAAAAATAAGGTTTACCACCTCTCACAGGCGTCCCAAGCTCACGTTAGGAGTGTGTTATGTAAATTTACTTTCTTACAAGAGAGTCGGTGTCGCGTTACAAGCGACCGTTGAGACCTTTTTACGACAAATAAAATACTGAGGTTTGCGAACGCCAAATATCATTACTTTTACTTTTTTTCTATAAAATAAATAAAGGAGACTTACCTTTTATGTATTCCTGTGTTTTTTGGTGTGAGTTCCTCGATTAGTAGGGTTCTTTGGCTGTTATTGTGTGACCCCTGTCACTCTCTTCTTAATACGAATTAAAGGCAGAGGTGGATAGAAAACGAAGATCTAAGACCCTGTTTACATGGAGTGGGGGACCCCGGTCTAGTGGGGTAGGTTTCTTTTGTTTTCACGCTCTGGCGGACAAAAAACAGAAGAAACCTACTCCACTAGACCGGGGTCCCCCACTCCATGTAAACAGGCCCAAAGACCTAAGACCCAAAAACGAAGACCCCCTCAAAAGCAGCTTTAAATAGCTGGAAACGGGTATCTCGACCTTAGATGTGTAAGAAACAACAAGATCTTCAATTATCAATGAAATTGACCTAACCCTAACCCCCCAAGTTTAGAAAACGAAGACCCCCCTCAAAATCACTTAGAAATGGCTCGAAACTACTTGGAACGACTTCTTGACACTAGAGGAGTGTAAGAAACAACACGGTTATCAATTACCAAAAACGTTTTCGAGATTTTATAACGGCCAGTTTGCTTTGTCCCAGGGGAAAGAAAGGTCTTACATCTCCACATGGTAATTATATATGTTAGTCGCTTTAGTGACAAATCTCGCCAAATTCACCTTCTTGTTCCTTGCAAACTAATTCAAGTAATTTCCTTTATGTACCGTAAATCCTCTGTCGAGGATCAAAAACATATCCGAACTTCAAACACGTGAATAAGTCAATCAGGATCATTCCAAATGAAGTTTGAAAGTAGTGATTGATTAAATGACCTTGTTTTGATAAAAAACCTCTTTCTATAGGGGTTATGTAGAAAACGAATCAAAGACCCTGGTCAAATTTTTTGGTGATCGAGATCGTGTTGTTTCTTACACTCCTCTAGTGTCTAGAAGTTGTTTTAAGCAGTTTCAAGCCGTTCCCAAGTGATTTTGAGGGGGGTCTTTGTTTTCTACATTTGGCAGGGGGGGGGGGGGGGTTAAAACAAATAATACGTCCTCTGTTTATTTTTTTGTTTGTTATATGTTTTTTTTTTGTTCATTTTTTTTGATTTCAGTATTTATTATTTAACTTTTTCATTTGGTTACTGGGTGTTTGTGGGGGGGTGGTTTGTGTTTTTGTTTGGGGGGGGGGGGGGGGGGTTACGTAGAAAACGAAGACCCCAGTCATACGTCTTTGTAAAGAAAGAAAAAAGCTTTGATACAATGAACAAAAAGCCGAGATCGGTATTATAAGTACCTTTATCTTGTTTTCATTTGTATATGTCTTTAATTTCCAAGCAATTACAATAAAACCCATCCTTTGATACTGGGCAGACGCTTAGCAAACTGGGTGAGAAGAAAAAACTGGCTTTGAAGTGCTAAACTTTAACATTCCAATGAACGCTTTTGATAAAATCAAACATGCCTTCTATTGCTGTAACCGAAGTTATTCCTGGCGAAGCTGTATACACAATACACATAAAATAAACAGTCGGGAAGGCTGTGATCATATGCCCAAATGCCCGATGAGCATGATAGTATTTGTAGCCGAGAGCGAACGTGAGGCGACCAAACGTGAAGAGAATCACCAGCACTGGAATAACATGCATGTTTTCAGATGACAGATGAGATGACAGAATGAGCGAATCTCCAGAACTCAGTAGATACTGCTCTAGTGTGTTGGATACGTAACGAGGAGCTACCCCACTGAGATTCTGTTTCTCTGCGTCTTTGTCCAGAGGATTAATTGCTGTTGTAAGTCCTCGGGTTGCCTCTACCCACACCAGACCTGCAGGCAGATTCAAAGAAGTCTTAGCTGGTGTTACATGTGCATTGAATTGAACAATGTCTTGCTCAATTTCTCCTTCAGTCACAGCAGTAACATGCATTACACATACAGTTGTACACTGTAATTGTGAGCTACAGTACATCATCATAAAGAGCATTGAAGAAGATATTTTTGAGAATGACTTCGAATTGAAAGCTAAATTGAATGCTTCAGCAACAAATGCTACACTCAGTTCGTCCTATCACTGACTATATCATAATCATTAACATTAAAAACTCGAAATCTCTGTGTTGGCGGTTATGACTACAGCACCACTAACATAAAACAAACTAAAATACTACGTGAATTTACTATAAAACACGGGGAACAGACAAAAGTGTGCACGTATGACAGATGTCCAACATGTGTCACGCAATCTATGAGTCTGTGACAACAGAGTTTCACCAGAACAAGTGTTCGTTCAAAACATAAAGGGTGGACAACGGGGAAATAGTAAAAGGACTGCAAGGACATGGCAAGGAGTCCAACAATATGGACGCAACGAAACGATGTTGAGGACGCTTGGTATATACACCTGTACATGTACTCAAGTTGATTCACTCGTGAAATTAAAGAAACAACGAAACAACGTGCACTCAGAAAAGTTAAACATTCTTACCTGCAATCAGACTAAAAGCAGAAACAGCTTGCCACTGGAGCGTGAAAACTAGTTAGAGGCTTCCAAACTTGGCAGATGAGGTCTTGGTATAGGACCGTAGACTGCTAGAAGAGCTACCAGCAACAAAAACACGCTGCCTGCTACAACACCTCGCATAAAGAGCAACCGGTCTTCTCTCACGCTGGCTTTTTTTACTGAATCAGACGCCATCGTTGTTGATTGTTTTAATCTATACATAGAAATGTTCGTGACCTTGGTCGTGATTATCCTCACGCAAACTTTGCGGAAAATGCGCTGAAGTCCGCCGACCAGTAAGACTTGACTATGATGGGCCCATGTGAAGCGTTATGTATATTAACGCTGGTAACCAAACATTAAAGATCCCCCTCTTGGTCACAGAAAGACAAACAACAAACAAATTATCGACATGGTCATACCATCAGTAGTCGCCATAAACTTGGATGTCACGCGACGCGACGACGATCAAGAAGGACTCGACAGAACAAACGCCATTGCAAGAAATGTCTCTTATTAAAATGTTTCGAACAGATTGCGATGTTTTGGCGGTCTGTCCATTTCAGTTTCGTCTTACACTGGCGATGTAAAAATGTGAAGAGATTTGTAAGGCCTTGTTACAAAATTAATACATGTGTACATATGCACTGTAGCCTCAAGCTGGCAGATTTTGTAGCTGTGCTAGTCAGGACTACATTTTTAAATTTTTAGTTTTGAGGGATGTAATTGGTAATACAATGTAATTATTGTCAGTTCAATTAATCAGTAAAAATGTTTGGCACATCCTTGTCGAGAAAGAATGACCTGCAAAATTCATTTTCTCTGCAATTTGATACAGGTACAGAGTAATCTGCTTTTCAGACACTGTACCCCTTTTCCTCCGTGTCTGTAACACCTGAGTTTAAACATGTCATTGCAGCTGCTACTTTCTTTTTACATGTATAATGACCAACATCAATTTTCTCCTAACCATACCAATACATAATCAAGCAAGAAGGTTATGAGAGTTAAAAGGAAAAATTCAGTGATCATTGAACAAATTTTCTCAACTATTCTGTTAAAAAGGAAATGTATGGAATCAGACATGTGGATATTGCAACATACCCTAATCTCCCAGCTTCAGCTGAGAAGTGCCCACTCAGCAACTCTCCGGTGGACAGTCCTGTGTTTGCAGCCAGTGTTCCATTGCAGATCATGCGCAGAAGCTGAAGCACTCTCCTGCCATGTGACTGGAGACAACCGTTAGGAACAGATAAATTGGTCAGTCTAACTAGGACACCCATTACAGTGCTAAGAGTTGCAATGGTGCTGAGAAATACTCCACTCTGGTGTGAAAAAGAAAAAACACAAACATGCTGAATACTCTTGCTATTAAAAGAGATTTTTTTACATTATTATCATATATGAGTAACTTTAGGGTCAGTTCAAAGGTTGAACCTTTCATGTACCCAACCTAATCCCTTCAATTACTGTGAAACTCACAAAACTGTGAACACCAGAAATATTTATGCAATGTTATTGTGTTGCGAGAAATAATCCAATAAGGCATGAGATAACTAAACCGCAAACAACAACGGTAATTAGTTTGTGGTTTTGAGGTTTGCTCGCATGTCCTGAACTTTATTGTGACTGGTCAGTACACAATCAACATTCCTGAAATTTTTCAGGTGTTCACGGTTTTCCGAGTTTGACAGTAAATACATGAAGGGATGGATGTTTGAAGTCCAACATGGCTAATTTAGGTCGACGCATAAATCAAAGAAAAAAGAGTGGCACGCATGAGAATTTTGCCTTGGTTTCAAACGCCAAACTTTTATGTGCCAACACTACTGCATACATTACTATAATGTATTTTCCCTGGTAAGCATTGTACACCATTGTATATCGTAGGACATCTGAATCAACTGTCAAACATGTACCATTCTAGTTGGCATGAATATAGGTCTGTGTATTATTCGGGACATGAAAAGTTCGATGTTTGAACTGGGCCTTACTGACCGTTCATGAAGTCAGCATGGCTGGAAATTGGTCAAAGTTCTTTTTATTTGCTTTTTTATGAACCAAGTCCATTGTAAAAGTCAACTCAGTAAGAACACAAAAAAGAACAAGGCCATTATCCGGCCATCTTGACCAAACAAGCGTGGACAATTCACCATTTGCACACCTCCCATAATACACCTTGTTTGCCCCCCAAAATTTTGCAGAAGCAGTCTCTTCAATTTCTTTTGGGACCACTGAAATACCCAAGGGGAATCAAAACCCAAGGTTATGCAAAAGTTTGGGGGACAAACAAGGTGTATTTTGGGAGATGTGCAAATGGTGAATAAAAGATTTATGCCAAAAAGAGAACTTTTTCTTGTGGGACCAAGGCAGCAAATCCTGAGTGAGCAAGATTTCCCATCTTTCCACTGCTTTCTGAGTTTTACAGCATACATTATGTATATAATGTGGTTCAATTTTATCCTTGGTTTAAATTTTACTTCCTTTTCTTTTATACTCATTATCATACATTACCGCCCATAACACCCCTCCAACCCCTTTCCCCCCCAAAAGGGTGATAAAACTTAAACCAAGGATAAAATTGAACCAGAACATATACATTTCTATTTTCATTATCTCTCCTAATTTAATAAGGTTTCCAATTAAAACAACTAAAAGAAACATTTGATACTACATTTAACACCAACAACAACTTAACAAAATACTATTACTTCTCTTGTCCCATTCATGTCAATCTCTAACATTTCATCTGTCAGTCGCAGCAACTTCTCGCCAGCTTCTTTCTTCTTTACACTCATCATAGTGAAGTAAGCACCAATTTCTTTATCATACTCCCTCCTTGAATTCAAATTACTAAGCACACTGTATGCCTTGGTCAGTTCCGAAAAATGATGTTATATAAACAAAAAAAACTCATCAGAAACTAATGTTATGTAGAACCACCCAAATACCATGCCTTTAATAATGCCCAAACAAAATGCATGAAACATTAGCAGTTAAGTTTCCCTTTTCCCACAATTTTAACCTCAAATAGAGCTTACCAATAATAAGACATGTTTCCCTGTGATTATTTGTATACAAAGGGCACACTATAAATAGCCTGCGAGCAAACTCTCCATTTTGGGGATATTGTGAAAAGTAGACGACCGAGAGGCACACGAGAGGAGACGCAAACGCGAGGGGCGGGGGAGAGAAAGGAGAGCTCCTTTCTTTGGCCTCTCACAGCTTCACCACTCACTTGCTCGTTCTCGCGTGGCTCGCTTCACTTGTTCTCGCGTGGCTCGCTTTGCTCGCCCAAATAGGGAAGCTTTCTCACAGGCTACACTATAAATAATAAAATACTAATAAATAATGTCTTTAGCCATTCAAGTCTTCAGAGTGACCAACATCAATTTTCTCCCAGCAACATCAATACATCAAAATTCCATGATCACCAACTGCTTTTATCTGTTATCAAATTCTCTAAACAAATCCATTAAAAAAATGCATGGAGAAAAGTGAAGGGAATTTGTATGTGGCTATTGGGGCTGAAAGGGTTAACAATGCTTTCTATTAAACTAAAAGTGCAGAAATGTCAAGAAAAACCCTGGTCTAGCACTTGCACACCTGTATATTAAACCCTCTTGGAGTTTTTCCCCCTTATAGAACAGGTAGCCCAAGCTCGAAATATGATCATCAGCGAGCATCGGCATTGTTGCATAACATTCAAAATATAAGGATTTGTATGGGGAAAAAACCTACCGTTTCTGTAACCTACGAAAATGAAAGGATTTCAATAAAAAACAGCTTACCTCACTTAAAATGTGTGTTACGTCTCTCCTGCGTGGTCCATGGGTCAATTTATGGCCGTTTTATGGGTTTTATGTAAACAGTTTTCTCTCCATATAAAGGTTTACCAAGGTTGGGCACTCCAGCGAAGTAGCTCGATTGATCCACAGAAGGAAAACAGCCGGAAATTCGCTCCAACTACTCCAATCGTCTCCAAATTCCACCTAGGTAACACACGATAGTTCTTCTTTCCACTCGTTATCTTGCTTCAAGACTCCTTTGCACCGAGAGCGAATCAAAGGCCAGAAATCTCTGCAACCTATCCCGTCTGAAGCCATCGACAGAGGCTCGGCCTGAACTACACCTTACCGTTGACAGATAGTGACATGGCCTGAGACTCAAATTACTCACACTCGGGGTGGGAGACAGTCTCTTGCTCCCGTTGACACAATAGGAAAACAACGGGAGCACCCCGAGTGTGAGTAATTTGAGTCTCAGGCCTTGTCGCTATCTGTCAACGGTAACGCGGAGTTCAGGCCGAGCCTCTGTCGATGGCTTCAGACGGGAGAGGTTGCAGAGATTTGCAGCCTTTGATTCGCTCTCGGTGCAAAGGAGTCTTGAAACAAGATAACGAATGGAAAGAAGAAGTATCGTGTGTTACCTAGGCGGAATTTGGAGGTGATTGGAGTAGTTAAAGAGAATTTCCGGCCGTTTTCCTTCTGTGGATCAATCGAGCCGCTTCGCTGGAGTGCCCAACCTTGGTAAACCTTTATATAGAGAGAAAACCATTTACATAAAACCCATAAAACGGCCATAAATCGGCCCGTGGATCACACAGGAGAGATGTAACACACATTTTAAGTAAGGTAAGCTGTTTTTTTTAATTGACAACCTTTCATTTTCGTAGGTTACAGAAACGGTAGGTTTTTTCCCCATACAAATCCTTATATTTTGAATGTTACACAACAATGCCGATGCTCGCCGATGCTCATATTTCGAGCTTGGGCTACCTGTGCTTATAGGAAATAAAAGGGTCAAAGTCCCAAAAGAACACAGTTCCTCATTCAGAGAAAGGGGGATGTTTCTTTTGACCAAAGATATTGAAATAGCTACCACTTCAGGAATGACTCGTTATACATCTATACATGATCTATGACTCTATACATCACTGGGAAGGAGGGTGGTGGGAAAAGCACTGACCCCCATGGCCAGCCAGTCCATGCACTACCCCCATCGACTACCCATATGGACTAATCTAAAATGAACTATACCACTGAAGATTAGTGATATGGGTTAGGAAACTGAGTGAAACAAGCTTCACATCAGTTTCCCGAAATGAAACCTGATTCACTCAGTTTCCTAACCTTAAATCACTAGACTTCAGTGGGGTAGTCGATTTTAGCGTAATCGATATGGGTAGTCCATGGACTGGGGGTCAGTGTTTTGTCCACCACCGAGAGAAAGAGGGGTGCAGATATTCACTGTAATGGTCCAAAATACTACAGAGAGCGTCATGCTACAAAGAGCTCCTACCACATGGGCCTCATTAGCTTGTCTGAGCCTTTACATATCGACTATAAAGATATTTTGTATGCTAACAAACCTGTGAACATATGCTGAGCTTCTTCGCTCTTGTTCACGTCTGGATGATATTTCAGCGACAATTCATGATACGCGGCTTTAATTACAGCCTGTGTGGCGGAGTGCGGCACATCCAGGACATCATAAAGTGATCTCCGTTTGGAAAGTGTCCGGCCGTAAAGACATCTTGCAGTGGTAGTTTGAAGACAGGAATGAGAGTACATGATGTCCGACCGTATTGTGCCTCATATTTTGTCCAGCAAGAGCCACACCTCAGTCCATCGTGAATGTTAAATTTGTAGGAAACATGGATAAAATCTTAGAAAATTAAAGTTCATCGACGAACTCGAAAGAAATGAGGAAAAATTATGATAAGTTTCATTACCCAGGGTCATGATGCATCCGCCATTTTAAAAATTTAACTAGTACCCAGATCTCCTGCTCAAAATATCAAGACAACTCTTTCCCAGTCTCTAATCACCTCTGCTTCAGGATGAGGCAATGAGGCTTAGACACTGGTGCTCTCGAAGGGTAAACGAAGCCGTCCATATAATGAGACTCATCTCGATGTGACGATCTGTTTATTCTTGCATGAGCCTTTCTATCGGCTTGTTCCATTTCCATGGGGTCAGACAACACAGCAGGGAGCATGCAGTGAATCATTAGGGACCTTACGAAACTACGACGGCGACGGCAGGGAGAACGTCAAAAAAACAATAGATTTAATTTAATGAGCAAAACAACAACTCTGCACGTGCATCACGCTTTTTGTACATTTCTTTGCTGTCCCTGCACAACAACGATGTGAAATGACCACACTTTAAGTTTACTTGATTACGGGAACGACAAGGCGATAATTTCTACCATCTCCGTCTGAACTCAGGCGCGGCCCCCACTCTTCAGCTCCAACCAAAATTCCCTTCTTTTAAGTAACAGGGCGAATTCGGATAATCGCGAAAACGTCTAAAAGGATGCGAAGTCCACTTTTCAGCGACGTTTTCATGGACGTCGCCGTTGTCGGATCGTAAGGTCCCAACTGAGGACTACAGCCGACCGCAGAGGGATCATCTCTTGCACAGTCGAAACGTCGCGATTAAGAAACGACGCTTAATGTATGAAATAATAATAACAAGAACGCTCTAAGTAGCGTTGAGTCTCGCTTGTTTGTAGATAAGATAAGAAGTGAGGAGGCGAATAGAGCGCGAGCGTTCGTCACTCGGGGGGGGTGGGGGGGGCGCTCCGCATATAAAAGGGCTTGGGATGCTCGTCGTCTTGCTTAGGCCGGGGTGTAAATTTCGGATTTTGGTCTCACTTACGG